TTTCTGAAGATATGGGTAAACAATGCGATTTAACAGCCATTGAATGTGGGATGATTGTTGGCGCTTGGAGCCATGGAGCGAGTATCAGCAAAACAGCAGAATTTGTTAAATGTTCAAGAGCAGCTGTTGTTAAAATGTTTAAAGACTGGACTGTCAGCCGAAAATCTGGGTCTGAACGTGCGAATTGTGGCCCTCAGCGACTAGTCAATGTTAGGGCAGAACGGAGAGTGGCAAGACTGGTACAAGACAACAGAAGGGCCACAGTGCAGTGTCAGATTCCTCGCATCACCTTTCAACATCTCGTGGAGTCACGAGGTGGCCCGCAAAGTCATCTTGTGGAGTCATCTCGTGGCCCAAATAAGTACTGATGGAGTGGTCATAATAATCTGGCCACTCATGGTATATTGTATACGTCTTGCTTACCCTCATGTGTTATATTGTAAACAGGAATTTTCAGTGAAGATAGGAATTACACCTTATTTTCCAGTGGCATCACTACAGGCATAGGTTGCACACCCATACATATTCCAAATAGGAAGCAAATAAAAGTGTAAGTGTTGCTTGAAGAATTGTTGCCATAGCAACAAATCAAATTGTGGGTTTCATTTTCAAGTGTAATTACACAAGCCTCAGCTCATCTTTTTCCTTTGCTTCACTTTCCCTAAATCACTAAACCTCCACAGTATTTAACAATTTCAACTCTACTCAAGTCTCCATTAAATCAAAGACTTGTTGACATGTACTGATGTGTCTATGTGTTGTATTTTGACTGATGATATTATTGAAAGATTTTCCTGTAAATAATACTGCATGTTTCCCTAATGATGTATTTTGTTATATATTTTTTTCAGGGGACTTAACAAGCAAGGCTATCAGTGTCGACGTAAGAATTGTTAACTTTTTTTCTAACTTTGAGAATTTGTAACTGCTTTTTTAACTTTGAAAATAATAAATACATGTATAATTCTTATTTTCTAACAATTACTAGAGTGCAATGCTGCTATTCACAAGAAATGCATTGATAAAGTTATTGCTAAGTGCACCGGATCTGCAGTCAACAGCAAAGAAACAGTAGTAAGTGTTTTCCATGTGTAAAAAGATATATGGATTATATCTGCATTATATACAAGATAATTGTAAATTACATATTTGCTTGTAAACCTCCTCCATGTATTAACACAAGCAGTACCCTCCTGATAGAGCTCTGGGTTTTCACCTGCATTCCCTCCAAATGGTGAAATTGAAAACAGTGACCATAGAATAGAATGATTTGCTATAGCTCTGACCAGTCATTGTTTGGAAAAGGGATTGTACAAGGTGTAGGCCTGTCTTGAGTAGGCCATACAGTGGTGGATTTTCATATGAATGTTCATACAAATAATCATGTCAGAGCATTTGATAATATCATCAGTGACTTGTTAAATGTAATTCAAAATTTCACTTGATTTTAACCATGATTTTCACTTGATTTTTAATGTTGGAATAAATGGAATGCCCCGAGGAAAACCACATTCACTGTCAGAATTTTGTTCATTCAGGAAGAACTTTCTACCTTGCTGCTTTTTTTCATCACCACAGTTGAAAACGATAATTTATTGCATTGCGTTTTGTGAAGATTTAAGACGAATGCATGTTGAATAAATGCTCAGTTTTGTTCACTGTTCCATTTTTACAGCTCCATAAAGAAAGATTTAAAATAGACATGCCTCACAGATTTAAAGTGTACAATTATAAGAGCCCGACATTCTGTGAACACTGTGGGACGCTTCTCTGGGGACTGGCAAAGCAAGGACTAAAGTGTGTGGGTAAGTACTGGAGTCTTATAGATAGCAGATGAGTGTTATATATATAGCTCTTAGTGGGTATTACCCCCTATGGTCTCTTCTGAAAGTTCTACTGACAGCTAGAAAATTGCTTTCCTTCTTAAGCTGGCAATTAGTTGTATTTCTAGCTGTCAGGATTGATAACTTTTTTGTATACCAGGGCCGTCTCTATAATGAGTTAGCCTGACTTTGTTGCCTCAGGTGGCATCTCTTAGAGTCACATGGGGGAGTGGCAAACAAAGCGGCATGGCCACTCTGCTGAACAATGTTTGCAGTGTGCCTGCCGCCGCCTTTCCGGCCAGTGTCCCAAGTTGCTAAGGTCTGGGTGGGGAGATGCGTAAGGGCCATACACCACATCTCTCCACCCAGCTCTAAGCAACCTGGGATGCTCTGGCTAGCATCCCACTGAGCTGCTGGCAACCAGTGACATCCCAGGTTGCTAAGAGCTGGGCGGGAAGATGCAGAGCCCTTATATATCACTGCGCCTGGCTTTTAGTGACGTCACTCTCCACCAGCACTCCCCACTCATCCATCCCTCCCCGCCTCAAGTGGCAAAAAGACTAGGGCCAGAGGCAAATAAATAGCTTTTTCCATTTACAATCATTGGCAATCCATTTTTACTCAGTAGGAATAGTCATCTTGTCTAAGGTTATTTACACATTATCCCAATATTCTATGCCATGTTAGGACCAGGAAGACAAAACATTGTCATGTGTAAAGGAGCTAATCATAGCACAGGGGGTTTATTTAGGATGGTCAAACTTGTGTGCCTACAGGCTCCAGAGGCGGATATCCAGATGTACTGTACAGCAAAGATTTACAACATTACCCTTTCATGCTCACAGGTCATTGAAGTCTAAATGGCCAGGCCAGATTTAGCAGCATCAGTATAAGTCAGTTAGCTTGACTATAACTCTATCTCTAGTTTGCCTACCTACATTATTTTTACATTTAAAAGGCATGGATTTTGTTTGGTTTAATATATTTGTATTCACCAATATACCAATATACATTTATTCACATTCACATAAATATTCTCGAATATCATTTATACTGTAAAAATCAAATGTGTTTAATTTCTCTTACTTTTATTAACTATACATTTCCAGCATCCATCACTACCTCCTCTTGCATCCTCACTCTTACACTTACTCTCCTGAGGAGGGAGAGATCAGTCTAATATACCTGTGTCTCTGTGTAAACTTTAGTGCAATCACCACAAAATCCATAAAGTCCTCAGACCAACTTTCCTATTATCTTACCATAATCAATTCAAAATCTCAGCTCTACACTTCCCATCTATTTATTATAAATTGTGACCTTATATCTCTATAATAGTGCTGCATCATCCCTAGTTCAAATAAATAGTGCATTAAGACCTTCCCCCCTTTACTCACCTTCTTATTACTCGTGTGCTCTAATTATAATCAAATTCCTTTATTTTATGATCCCTATCTCACCTTTTCTAGGGTTTATTCTCTCTCACTCCTCTCTGTGTTTTAGGATACCCTACTTTGGGGATCTATATTATTAGTTTATAATTACATCCATTAGTGAATTAACTCTCCCTCCCACCTTTATTTATCAAACCAAAGCAAACTTGGCTACTCTAACCCTTTACCTTTTTTACATCTCCCCATGGATGGATTTTGTTTGGTTTACTGTTTTAATTAAAACCCTATAATGGTTTTGCCTGAGGCTAACACTAGGACACCCATGGTACTTTTAAATCTTTACTCTTCATAGAAGGTTGAGTGAGAAGAAGAGATACTATTTTGCAGTGTTTTGAGTAGTAGTTAAGAATAGTAAACTTGTTTAACTCTTTAACTATAGGTATTTACATTTCTTAATTATTTATTTTTGTTTATTGCCTGTGTTTTATGCAGAATGTGGTATGAACGTCCATCATAAGTGTGAAAATAAAGTAGCAAACCTTTGTGGGGTTAATCAGAAGTTGATGGCAGAAGCTTTGGCCATGATAGAGAGCACACAACAGGTATATTTGTGTTGTCTTCCTAATATTCCATTATTCATTTATGTACAGCATTTATACTGCCCATGCTGAGGACACTTCAAAGCAACTCTGTAATCAATGACAGTACATTGGCTTTGGTGCTGAAAATTTTGCAGTGGTAAAAGTAAAAAATGTGTTCTCCCACAACCTTCTCTTTACCCTCAGGCAGGCCCTAACATTTAACCCTATCCTGCGATAGTAAGCGAACACATACTGTCGCTTGCTCACTTCTCGATTATGTCCCTGCAGAGAGCTGTGACTGTCACTCACGGCTCTCTGCAGGGATTTCCCCCTCCGATCCTCCAGCGCTGACTGGCGGAGCGGATGGGGCGGGTACAGCTGGCTCCGCCTCTAGATAGGCAGAGCCAGCTGTCAATCACGCAGCTGGGTGGATGTCGACTGTAATGTCGGGATCCGTCCCGGCTGCAGCGGTCTCAGTATTCCGCGAGCTGTAGCTCGCGATATACTGAGCTTTGGGTCACGGGAGGATGCTAGTTTATGTCCTCCTGTGACCCTTAGGAGAACTATGGGGAAAAACACTTACCCCATAGTTCTCCTTTAAGATAATACTTATAATAAATCCATAACAAACTAACCTCAAACCTGAAACTTAACCTAACACTTAACCTCCTAAATGCAAACAACTATTTTAACCCCTCACCCTTAAGCCTAAACCTGACCCCAAGCCCTAAATTAACCACATGAACATGAAATCCATACATACCTTGTGAGACCAAAAGTATCTGCTTACTCTCACGCTGATAAACTAAAAGCTGTGCTGATCACTGGGAACAACTGATTCATAATAAAGAGGCTCATGTATAAAACCTGAGAGAAAGGGAAATTTGAAGCTGTTAACTTGCTTTCTATAGCTTTCTGCTTTAGAAAATGAAAACCAGAATATGTCTGGTTGGCATGGGCATATTTTCTCCAATCTTGGAAAACCTTGAAATTGATAAACCCTTCAAATGAAGTTCACTCTTTTGTAGCTCCTTCATTTCTGTGATATTTGCATGACCATTCAAGTAGCATAAAATATACATAATAGCAGCTTTATTCTAGATATAAGGCAAATCTGCTGCATCCATAAAATAACTAATATTATTACTATTATACAGGATTTATATAGCGCCAGCAGTTTGCACAGCGCTTTACAATATAAGCAAGACAAAACAATTGCAATACAATTCAAGACAAGATGGTAAGGAGGGCCCTGCCCGTGAGGGCTTACAATCTAAGAGGGAGGGGCAAGTGATACTTGAGGAGGTAGCTGTGTGGGGATGAATGTGATGGTTGAGTGGTTAAGGTTGAGGTGGGATAGGGATAACCTCCATTATAGCTTGCGCCGTCGTGTCCTGTAGTTCACTTTAGGAATACATTGAAATCTAAAATGTTCCTAAGTGCTTACCACTGACAAATCATGAAATGCAGAGCATTGATTATGCTGAACAAATTTGCAGCATATTAATTTTTATTCCTGATTTCAGGACAGGAAGCAAAGAGAAACTGAGCAAGTTTACAGGCAAGGTCCACTTGAAGTTGGCCACAGAAAAACAGAAGAAAAGCAGCCTTTAATATCTGCGAGGAAAGGTACATGTCATATATTGTCATATATTGAATGTTTCAGGCAGGATTTCAGGGTTATCATGCTCCAAGGCCGGTACTTTATTGGTATGTAAATAGTAGACCTTTACAATAATTCACAAAGCCAACATGCATTACAGCTTGCCGGCAACATTATATCGTATTGGCTAAAGGATTTAGCTCTAGGAATGTGGAAACAAAAGCTATTTATTCCAGCTTTACTCTCACCACTTTGTACCTGTTCTTACACTTTACTTGATATAGGGGGCCTTACGTATGGCCCTTGACATCACCAACGGCCCCCTCATAATAGATAGTGAATGTATTGCTACAGCAAGCAGTCAAGGACCGTTAAACCAAATTAATTAAACCAAATCATGAACTACTAGAAGCAACTCTAAAGAATATTTTTCCTTCACTGACTTGAGTAAAAACTAAAACAGTCCAAAACAGGCCCCCTAGGGCCACAGGTTGGACACCAGGGTTCCCTTTGGGATTCATACACAAATACACCAATAAAAATATGCATCTTACACAATGTTACAGTGTTCTAACCAACATCAAAATAAATGAACAATAATAAAAAGTCTCAAGCAGAAAAGATACAGATGGTTACAGACATTATGATGTAATGATTTAGGTGTTAAACTCTTAATCTTTTTTCCAATAATGAATCCAGATCAGGCAAATATACATTTATACATTTCTTTACATTTTTGTCCAAGCACTTACAGTTATCATGTTTCCAAACATCTGGCTCCATCTCTCTCAGCTCTGCTTCCCTGAACTTCCTGTCCAGTATAAGACCATGAAGGACTACTAGCCAAAGTACCAGCTAACAGAATGAACCAGGTTATAGGTCAACTAGTTAAGAACGATCAGGTAGGTTTCATCCCCACCAGACAAGCAGGAGACAATATCCGCAGAGTCACACTCCTATCCCATATAGCCCAGACCAAAAAAATACCCTCCATGTTCCTCTCTCTGGACATTAGGAAGGCATTCGACTCGGTCTCCTGGCCCTATCTATTTTATGCACTGCGACATTGGGGTTTCAGCCCTCACTTTTGCAGTTGGATTGCCTCCCTCTATAATAACCCTACAGCACACAATAAATACTCAGGACACCGCTCTCAACCACTGCAGGTCTAGAGGCACCAGACAAGGTTGCCCTCTATCGCCCCTCTTATTTGCGTTAATTCTGGAACCCTTGGCCCAAAAACTTCATATATTCCCAGACATCACAGGAATCACTCATGAGGGTGTGTCCCATAAAATGTGTATGTTTGCGGATGACGCTCTTCTTTTTATCACTAATCCCCTGGTCTCTCTACCTAACCTGACGAAAATTTTAACAGCCTTTTCCTCCATTTCGGGATTATACATTAATGACACCAAATCCTTTGCCCTAAATCTGACACTGCCCTCCAACCTAGTCACATCCATACAGCAACAATACAACTACTCCTGGTGCCATACCCATCTACCTTACTTGGGAATCAAACTAACCCAATCATATCACTCCTTATATAACGCGAATTATCCTGAAATGGTAACTCCATTTCTCCATTTGGCAACTCCAAACTACCTCAGGGGTGAAACCCTTCCAATACTTACAAGAGCAATACCAAATGCCCAATAAAGAAATTTTCCGCTATCTCCAAATCCAACACTTCATTACTAAACAGTCCTCCACCCAGGGTCGCTCTACCACTCTCTCAATATTTGAACGAGTTTGTCGAGACAATCCCCACAGCCCAGGACTTATCTCCCTCCTCTACTCAGCTCTACTGTCCCTCCCCGATGCCTCTCCACCATCCTATGTGTCCCATTGGAATAGTGACTTAGGAAGCGTACTAGATGAAGAAACTTGGCAACACTCCTGGTTGAATACCAAATCCAGCTCGTGCTGTGCGAGTATGCTAGAGATAAACTACAAGGTCATTATGCGATGGTATCTTGTACCAACCAGAGTGGCAGCTTATAATCCACAAAGCTCGTCTAATTGTTTTCGAGGTTGCCCTGACCCAGGTACGTTTTATCACACCTGGTGGCGATGCCCCCACGTCTCTGCCTTTTGGGATGAAGTGTTCGCCCTCATGGCCTCCCTGGTTTCGGAACCATTGACTAAAGACCCGACCTTCGCGTTACTCAATTGTAAACCGGCAGGACTTACCAAAAAAACCTTCAGGCTCTCCCTCCACATCCTCTCCTCTGCTAAAAGAGAAATTGCGTTGAACTGGCTCTCGAAGTCCCTTACTGTATCACATGTAATCACACATGTCCACTGGATCATGGCCCAAGAAAAATGCACAGCACAACTTGAAAATACTATGCACAAATTTGAGACTATTTGGACCCCATGGATTGATAAATACTTCACCTCACCTACAACCCGACACCTGTGCCATATATGAATCTTCCCCAATCAGGTCTTCAGACGAGAGTTGATTCCACCTTAAGGTGCGGACCAGTACCTTCCTCTTCACTTCTTCTCCTCTTCTTTCCCAACTCTACCATGCCCCTGCTGTCTTTTCCTGTGTCTCCCCATGTGCTTTATGTAGTATTGTCTTAAGTATCACTATCAGGATGAAATCATCAATTGGTCCCTGGGACTGCCCTTGAGTTGAGGAATTGCACTATCCACTACTACCACTCTAGACTATATAGGTGGCAATCCCCCTACAGACTAAACAATAAAATGTATCGGGCAGTCCTCTTTACAGCTCTTTGACGTCAGGAATATGACCGCATTTGCATGATGATAGATGAGCTGTGGTATGATACTACTTTCTATGTACCAATTCTGTGCCTTTACATTAATGTGATATGCTTTATGTACTGTTTGACTAGTTGGATATAGATGTCCTGCAAGCCGCAGGCATCAGTTGGCATTATAACATGTATATGTGTACTTGCACTATTAAACTCAATAAAAATGTATTTGAAAAAGATCATGAAGGACAGATCGGTCTCAGTAGTTGTCCTTCTACCAGCTTGGAGAAGGGAGGAGCAGGGGGCAGGGGATTTATTGACTTGACATTTGAAATTTCATTAAGTTCAATGGGCTCATAACATTGGGATGCAGTTGAACTGCATCTCACTGCGGTGTACTTAAAAAAATCACTGCATGCTTTATTTTTTTTAAGTGCACACCACTGGAACAGAGTGGTGTGAACTGTCACCATCCATGACAAGGCATATTGCCTTGTCTTGCATTCGAGCTGTGCTGGAAAAAGTGGCCAGTGCTCATGAGGGTGTGAATGAGCCCTTAAACAGGATATCGGGGCCAGTGCTCAGGGGACCAGCTGATTCTGCAGGAAACTAAAACATTTAAATATCAAGGAGCAGCATCCATTGTAAGTGATTTCATCAGCATTTGAAATATTTTAAAAACCTTTTGACTTTAACATCACTTTAATCCAACATTTAATATTACAGTAACCGCTAGAATAATACTTTTCTGTATCCTGCACAATACAGAGTCCCAAGGCATTTGCTGGGAATCCCCTGTGGAAGGAGTCAAATGCACAGAGACTACAGCTGAGCCTAGAACAGAGACTAGAAGTACAGAAGAGGAGCCATACAGCCACATCACACTGACATTCGATAATTTTATTCTGCATAAAATGCTCGGAAAAGGAAGTTTTGGAAAGGTAAACTTGTATCTGCTTGTTTTTGCTATCATCTCTTGCAGTAATAGCCACAATTTATGGGTGCATGTAGATTTTGTTGTTAAGTCAGCAGTCTTTTCTTTTTTTATTCCTACAAAGGGGAGCACAGCTACCTTTTTAATGTGATCCAGACAATAATGGCTGTGTATGGGGAGAGGCTAGTAATAGGAACACCAGTAGGGACAACACTGCTGGGGATCTAAGAAGACCTAATATGTGACATGGTTTTACCACTGCTGAAAAATAAAAATGAGTCTAGGGTGGACTTAGCATTTGAAATCATACTCATAAATGTTCATGTATTCATCCTTTCTTTTTACAAATCTACTGTATGATATTATTTACTAATTTGTTGTCTGAGAGATAATATCAGCTTTATTACAAGCCATGCCAAAAATGTTTGAATAACAGCAGCTACATTAATGGAGCATCAGGAATTAAGGCAGCAAGAGAGAAAAGTAGAGGTAATACCCACAGCAGAAGCTTAATACCAGCTTCAAAGCTGAGTTATTCCTGTCTTATTGGATGGTATGAGCGGTTACAATAATTCTATTTAAAGTAGAACCAAAGCCATTTTTTTAAGGGTGGAAAGAATTAAAAGAAAATACAAATTTTGAATTGACACCAGAGCAGAAAAATGTTCTGGTGACCCCCGTGACAACCAGGGATTTCCCTCTCTGTGGGAGGGATTTCCTCTCACTTCCTGTTGTGGCTATTGACAGGAAGTGAAGGGAAATCTCCCCAATGGGACACAGATGGCAAAGAAAAAACCTGACTGAGGTTGTGAACCTCCCTTAAATAAAAAAAACTTTACTTAAACTTTTATATAACATTTGATTGTGTAACATTGTTTTAATTTCTAGGTATATATATGTGTATATAT